GCCTGAATTTGCTGGCTAACGGATTGCCGTGAATTTAGTTGACCCCACGCCAGCCCCGAGAAATCCGTTACGACATGAAAGACCTGGGCACGCGTTGCGGTGCGCGGGCTCCATAATATCCATCAACAAATCATAGCAAAATATTATTAAACACTATAATACGGCTCCGAAAAGATATTCCGGCAATTCTTAACACGAGAAAACTACTATAAACCTGGTAGTACGACAATAATGTATAAAATCGTTAACGAGGAGGCTGGCCGCCCGAGAAAGGGAAGACGAGAGTGTGCAATGGCGGGTTGCAGAAAAGAGAAAGAATTGTTTATGCGAGGAAAAGAAGGAAAGGATGAAGAAGCGGAAGACTGGTGAAAGTCTGTGTTCCAGTTCGGGAAGAGGCACAGATACAACCCCCAGGGAGGGGGAGGCACAGACGAAATGGCTGATGCTCCCGGAAAAGCCAACACATGCCCACAGTCGAGAGCCGGATGGGGAATGGTGGGAGGTTTCAAGGGAGTTTAGGGATCAACCAGTGTTTGTTTATAGTGTACCATGTAAATAGATTGCTAAAAATTATTTTTTCAAGTAATTTTGAATCGGAAACTAACAGTTTGGTATTTTGTTGTCGATAGTACAGCTATGGTGATCTACCGCACTACTTCGAAACCATCACGCGTGCTATCAAGAAAAATTGCCGTATCAAAACTATATTTGGCAGACAATTTCGTTGTTTTCCATTCGGGTTTTCCAACATTTTAAAAGTAAAAAATAGAGTGCTTTGCCTTCCAGGCAAAAAAATTAGAATGTCGCTACGGTAACTACCGTATCACAATGAAGACGACGCAGCCTGTTCTCGCAAAAACGCGATAAAATTACCGTAATCAGACTCTACCCCCATAGAAAAATAACAGCTTCCACCCGCAAGGATACAAAGATTATTCCCTACCTGTCCCTGAACTATTTCTCAGCACCCGAACAAAAAGTTGCGCCTGTTTTCCCGATTTCATCCCCTATTTTGCGTCAAAACCCCGTAAAGAGGATGAGTTCGTACTCGTTGGCCGTAACAACCTTCCCGAAAACCAAACGCCGTTGCACACGGGATTATAGCCTAGATTTTGGAATGGTCGTCGATTGGCAGGGTGGGGATTCATTTCCATTCCTCCAAATCTGAAGATTACCCTCCGTGGACTTGCGGATCACAGAAAAAACCAGATAGAAAATGCTACAAATTTGCGGGGTAGTCACATCGTTCTTGTGAAAAGGGGGGAATGTTATTCGAAGATCACTTTCTGATTTACGAGGAACATTACGGTAGCTCTCAAAAATCAGGGCTTTCAGGAGGCGATATTTTAGGAAGTTTTCCGCACTATAGATCGTAAAGGGTGTCGGCATGAATTTTCAGAGGTATTTGCGGGCTGCCCTTACCGGGAACACTCTTCAGAATCGTTTTAAAGGGTTTTGCGATGCATTACTGTGGATTTTGTCGGTTTTGGCTCCGGGCACGCCACGCGTCAGCTGCTTGGCCTTTCGCTGGTGTGATCGGACACGCAAGGGAAAACTCAGCGCGTCGCGTGTCGGGGTGCGTTCACACCTAGAGAGAATCGATGACCAACAAAAAATACTCATGTCTTGTCGACCCCTTTAAAATTGACTCAGACCAGGTAACTTTATGAATTAATCAATGGCTTCTCTTATGCAATCCCAATTCCTCCCAAAAACTCTGATTTCTCAGCTTATAAGTCTTTCACGCACACCTCCCGTCCGTCCACAGGTGCTTTTCGGAAAGGTCGCGCCGACATAAAAAACTGAAAACAGCTCGCTAGGTACGAAAACCTGGCCCGAAAAAAAAGTTGAGTTCGAAAGAGGGCCGTTTTGGGCGCGCCATCGCGCAGCTGCAATTATAATTGCACCCGGCTACGCAAAAATAGCTTATATAGAATTTTTGGGAGAGCGTATAATGTTTCAGGGTACGGGTCGGAAAGTGTCGGGCGTTCTTTAAGAGGGTCAGAAAAGAGTTTTTGAAAGCTACCGTGTGGCCACGGGGTCAACGAAAAAAACCGAATTTGGAAGGAAACACAGCCTGGGAGGTTTGTTGCTTTTAAAAGCCACGAAACAGCAGTTAGGCGAGCAAATATCTAAAAATTGGGGCTTATTTTGAAGCACATTTTTAAGGTTGCGAGATTGATTTCTTTATTCTTATTCTAACTGGTCTCTAACTTCGGGCTTACAAACTCGATGACCGGAAGATAATAGAATAATCTAAAAAATCTAGACCGGTCTAACCAAAAAGTCCATTGAGCTTACGCATCAGAAAAATACATAGACGTGAAATAATGACAGTAATATGCAAGCGCGGCCAGGAAATGATGCAAGACTGTATCCAGAAATCCTAAAAATATCAGAATTTGCGAAATTTATCCATTTTCACGAGGATCAAAGTTGTGGGGTTACGGTAGGTTGCGGCAGTCAAAAAAAATCCGGACCGTCTATAGAGGGTCTGGAGAGCCAGAAGAAAGCCAGCAGTTTGGTAGCCAATGAAGTTATGGATTTTTTTGGGTGGCTAGGGTGTGCCCAAGCCGATGCAGCATCGGCATTCGTGGGAGACGCGGGCGGGCGCGCGGGGTGCCCGGCGTGTATTGCGCAACGGGCGTCGCCCACCAAAGGGACCAGGGGTACTTACCGTAGCAGACAGGGGAGAGAGTGTGCAATAGCAGGAGGCTGGAGACGGGAAGGGGACAGACGCGCGCATACACACAGACACACAGGCAGACACACCGGCTCGCGCGACCCACGCAGGAGGGGGCACACTTGGTGGACTGCCCCTGCCATTCCATACCAAGGGATGGTCGGGTGTGCACTACGCTTTTGTCCGAAATGCAACTCTAGACGGGGTAGGTGATGACGGAGGGGTGACCAATGGGCTGAAGTAGCGCTAGACGTCCAGTTTTGTGGAAAAGTGGAAAAATAGAGTGATAGGGAGATGGAAAGCTAGAGGCTAGAGGGGCGATGGGGAGAGATAGAGCGCTAAACAGCGTGAGAGGGATAGAGAGAGGGAGAGAGAGAGGGAGAGAGATAAAGAGAGAGCGGGAGAGAGAGAGAGAGAGCGGCCAATTACTTCATGTTTCTTTCTCCTCATTTTCGAAGCGAAAGTGATACTTTCAAGAAGGCTACTACCGATCTAACGCTGATTTAGCTCTTAACGTTTCTTAACGCCTTTTTATCTATTAAATGCCCATTCATTCATTGATTTTAATTTATGATAACTATATAAAAAACAAAACTAAAACAAATAAAAATATACAAAAACAAATCGATAGCAATCAATCTACCCGGAAGGAAAAGGTGAAAACCGTTGACCCAGCCCCATACCGTTACTTATCAAAATCGCGCCGGGTAGTTCCAGGTGGCGTAAGGAGGTGTAGATGGCACTGGATGGGATGGTCATTGGCTGGTCCACTGTCGTGCTGACCCCTTCGAGACACTATCCCTTGATAACGCAAACGTTTTTTAGGGCTGACCATTCTGATTTGCCGACCCCCACGCCAAATGATAAGCCAAGAAAGGGCAAGTTGGGAGGACCTTAAGAAATGTGAGGGAGCTGATGTTGAGTAGGGGTTGAGTTTTGGAGATGTGTGAAGGTATCTGATGTTACGGCATTTCAAAGAGAGATCGTAAAATCCGCCTAAATCGTTTTTAAATACATTTGCAAGAACAAATTCATAATTTTAGCCTTGAAAATTCAAGTGTTTGATTTTGCACGCCGTTGGATCTTTTAAAGGGCCTGTGAGGTACAGAAAAACCTCGGTGACTGCTAGCTATCTGTGCCTACCGTTGCGTTACAAACGCATACCTACCACGTCGTAAAAATGCGTACAAAAACATCGGGATACGCTTGGCTTGGAGCGTAGCTGTCGAGACACATTCAATCTCAAAAAATCAACGCTTCTCCTCTCCATCTATATCGGCCAACTAGACAGTTTGATAGACATTTTCCTTTCGCAACTATCTTCTGCGAACTTGAACTTACCGATAGTACGCCGTACTGCAGCGTAAATCGCTACCCAGCACCCCCGCCTACCGTATTGCACAAGCAGTTCTACTCATCGTCCCCTCCAGTATCCGGATGCCCTTTCCGCACAGATGCGTAAATCCATTACTACGGTGTTTACGCGAAATCTTTGGGCGCAATACGCCTGATCCCATCTTACGCTTTTCGCCTGCGCAATTCATTCCCAAATTGATGAGTGATCTTTGGGGATCATTCGCAAACAAGTGCATTTTATGTAAGCACTTTTAGGATTTCAATAAGGCTTAGCTACAGTAATCTAGCTGATGGATCACAAGATCATCATCATCCGGAAACCACGATGATAAATAATTATCTGAATAAGCCGCGACTCCGTTTTAGCGGATTATCATACACTGTTTGTGCGAATCGCTCCTCTTTGCATTTGCTATTACCTCAAGGCCCGGTCAGCAAATCCGCAAAAACACAAAAACTATGCGTTGAAAACGAAAAACAAAAAAAAGCGCGTGATTTATGGTTCTTGAAACTTAGCCATATGGTGCGTGGTCAACTAAAAAAGGGCTTCAGTGACGATTCCATCCGAACGACAAGTACTCGTATTAGACAGATAATTTTATGGAGGCCTTTCTAAGGATCCAATAAACTTATTACATTTCACAAATTTGCTCATCTGCTGGACACTTGACACTAAAAACTCTTGAACTTTTTTGACCTTGACCAATCCATCGAAATCCCACGGTCTATCAGTGACTCACTCCCGCATTTCGTACCCACATCAACTAGACCAGAGTAAAGAAACGAAAAACCGGTTCTGAGCCAAGGCACCACCAACAAGATGAAAACTGCCAAAAACCCCCTTTGGAGCCAAATTTTCCCCCGTTTTATCTTAATTCCTCATCGAGAACAATGTTGTGCAGAATTACGGCGGTTCTCGTTGGCCTGAACTGTTTAAGTTTAACTATTGCTGAAAAACCAGATTTGGAAGCGATATTTGCCGGGGAATTGGAGGTACTTTGATATCGATTTTTGCCTAGACAACTTCTTGTAGAATCCAGACATTACTGGGAAGGCTGCGGACGTTTCAAAAATTTTGGGAATGATTACTGCAGATCCGAAAGCTACGCTTGAAGCTTGTATGAAGTCCCAGGAGGTAAGTGAGAGCGAGAGTAGGAGAGAGAAACGGAGATAGATGGAGAGAGTCAGAGAAGAGATATATAAGGAGAGATATTAAGAAAACTGATTATACAGCCTAATCAGGAAAACCACTGCAAGCAGCTCATCCAAAATTTCATCCAGCTACTGAAAGACGCGGAGATTGCACAAAGGATGGCGACGGAATTGAAGCGCTTTACAGAACTTGGGTCCATAATCCATCTACGCGCAAAACGTAGCTCAACGAAAGCGCAAGACAATACGGTATATCGCAATTTATTTAACAAATTTCCTCTATCAAATCTTAGGAAAAAGAGACGACTTTTACCGAGGACCTTGCTGAAATCGCTGAAGCGGCTGGGCGGAATCAAAAAGATCTTATTGAGGGCTGTGAGCAAATGGTTGGGGCGCTGTATAAACTTGTAAGTGCTCTAAAACCTTTCTTTTTCAGTACAATCGTTCTTAGATAGTTGACTGCCCGGCCCTTGTCGCCGAGGCCACCGAACTGCTTGGAGACATCGCCAAGCAAACCGACGACGTCGAGAAGATGAACTTTGGGGCCTTGAAGAGGAAATTGTTGGATGCATAACTGTGCAATAAATCAAGTTGGAATCATATTTATTTACACGAATTGACCACTAATCGAGTTTCTCTACATTTTGCTCTTCAGGACGAAGCGGGCCATCAGTCTCTCGATGGTGGCCTCATGCGTGAAAAGCTCGCGAAGGACTTCGGTTTCGCGCTCATTTACAGCAATTAGCTTGTCGACAATTTCACGAGGACGCAGAAGCGCTTTTGAGGCGATGACGCTCTACAAACCGATCAAGTTGCCGAATAATTATTTTTTAACGCACGTGGTGAGCCAGCTTGGCGTATTTCTCAAGCAGCTTGCCGGTCTCCTCACGGAAGCGATCGTGTGGGATGATCTTGGAGGCAAAGCCACATTGGAAAGCTTCTTGAGCGGACATTTTCTCGGCGAAGAGAGCGAGGGATCCGGCCTATGGTGGATGATGTCGTTATTCCGTTTAATAGGATACCTTGGCCCGACCCATAATGTTTTCAAAAGTGTGGCTCGAAGCTCCTTCCGGGCACAATCCAAACTGCGTGAACGGGCAGAGGAAGTAACTCTAAAATAAACATTTTTGCTCTGAAGTATCCAATTTAAACAAAAATTTTAACAACCACTACTAATTACGTATGGCGCATGCTGTATTTTGTAGTATTGTATTCTGTACCTTCGATACCGTATTAAAATGCCGTCTTTACCTTGTCGGAGATGATCACATGATCCATCAGCGCCAGCGTCGTACAAGCGATGCCTATCGCCGGCCCATTCACCAGGGCGATCAGTGCCTAAAACATGCATGCCCTTTCCAAAAAACCCCATCTCCATCAGCCCTCCAGCCATACCCCTGATTTCTCTCCAAAAGCACCCGGCCCAAAAAATTCTGGGGACCGCAGAAATTTTGGAAAACATTTAAAAAAAACTAAAAAACAGCCAAAACGCCCGCAGGAAATTTTTTGGAAAATGAATATGAACTTTTCTTCGGTCGGCCGATTTCGGGGGGCCCCCCCGCCCCCCCGGGCCCTCCACCCAAAGTCCCTATTTTTCGCACCCATTTTCGAGGCGAATGACGGGAAGGGCTAAACCCGACTTTGGTGACATCCAGATGGCGCAACCTGGTATTTTTCTGTTGTTCACGAGCGCTACGCAGTGGTCCTGAGAGTTACCGTAAAAATTTTGGAATTAGTGGGTTTGTAAGGCTTGCGAGGGGTTTGGGGAAATGAAGGTGAATTCTAAGGTACCGTATTTCCTCTAATATTTCCTCGGGGGTTATATTTTTCAATCACCCTGTGGGAGGGGTTTGTATTGGGGGGGGGGATTATAAAAGAGGGGGGCTTATATTTTTTTTTGATCGACTAGAATCTCGAAAATGGGGGGTAAAATAATCGATTTTGGACCAAAAACACAAAATTCTTTTTGGCAAAAGAAGGCGTAAAATTACTCAAAATTGCAATGTTACGCACAAACTTCACCTTTTACTGCGTTTTTTTGGCTCCTAAGTGCATATTTGAGCAAAAATTTTAGGGAGGGGTTATATTAGAGGGGGGGGGGGGGTATATTAGAGGAAATACGGTATCATAATCTTAAACTAATCAAAAAAATTACTAGGTAATACAAGACTACCTTTTTATGTTTGATCAACCGATTCGTCCAGACTTTGTGCAGGGGCTGCGGGTCGATTTCGTCCATGTCACTACAAAAAAAACACGTCCCTTTGCATTTAGTTTAGCATATCTATTTTTTTTTAATGGCCAGCTATTAAACGCATGCAAAAATACGACATTTTTCAACGTATGTTTGAAAATATAACTCACGGTACATTACCGGCCGCCGGGCTGAAGTCATTTCCAGACGAATAAAACTCATCACCACAACCTAGAGCTTACATCAATTTTCTTCTTAATTAATAACAAGCAATATTATAAAAACACAATTTAAACTCACCAGTAAAGACCGTAATAAAGGTATCCTCATCGTCATTAGCCGCTTCCGTAGCCAGAACTAATTGCTTGTACATCTAATCCAAATCTAAATCAGTGTATCCGTCTTTTACCTCGTGATTAATCGCATTTTTGCGCTTCACATTGTCAAATTTAATGAAAAAGATTGGACCCTTCTTCTCGGTGGTGATCGACATTGCTAAATTTATTTTTAAAATTTGAATTTTTAGAAAAAAAGGACAGAAATCCAGCGCAAAATCGGGACCGCCATCTGCTTATCAGGGATCTCCGAAAGGCTACACTCCACCGGGCGCCAAACTACAATTCGTTATCACTCCAATCGGGCGTTCGTGGTGGTCTTGATTTGATTGAAATTAGTATCAATTATAACATTAAAAAATATATCAGTTAAATCCGTTTATCGCTATATCATCATTACATCTACAATATGCCTGTAATAACCCGGAAAAATACAGTATGACTAGAAACACCGAAATATGAATGACCAGAATGGAAGGGGATTAATGACCGATTTAGGGGTCCTGTTGGTTTCATATGCACGTATTTTTAGCGGTTCCTGGAAAAGAAAACCCTAAAGTACGCCTAGAAATTTTAAAAATTCGAAAATTTGAGCAAACCGTATAGCTTTTTTTCTGAAAAAAAGATTGCACTCGACAAATGTACAAAGAGTAGGTATATCTAAAAAAGTGGAATATCCGATTTCACGAAGGAATCACAACCAGCAAAAGGCACAAGTGAATGACAAGCTAGAGAGGGATGGTTTTTACAAAACGTTTGGAGAACTGTCGCGACGATCCCTGACGGGTGTCCAGAGTAAAAGATGTCGTGACTCTTCGATCCGTTGCGAGGCGTACTGTAAGAAAAAAATATGGATTTTAACAGAAACGGGAAAACACGACTACGGTAATTTAGAACAACGGCACTTCACGGTTCTTGTGGTGTTTCACACAAGAAAGGGTAAAGTCTAAGAAATAATGTTTAAGTTCTGATTATTTTGCCAGCTTATAAAGCAACGAAATTTAATTATTTAAAGTAGATTTATATTGTCATGACAAGGCTAAAATTTGCGTAATTTGTAATGGTAAATGTCGATTTGATGTCACCTGAATTTCTATAGATAAAAACGCATAAATTTCCACTACTATTTTTATCGCTTTATGGTTTTCTATGGTTTTTATTGAACCTATGTCTTTCCTACGACTTACTACAGCCTAAATTGTGCGATACCACGACGACAAAAAACTCGAAAAGTAGTGTGCCACCGAGAAGTTGTGTCTATTTTCGTGTGTAGGACCATAGAGTGAAAGTGCACACATATTGGTGGTCGAATGGTGGATGGGTGGATGGACAGCAGAACTGTTAGAAGACGTCGTGCCCTCGCCGGACCAAGGAAATCTTCTTCTGCAAAGGCATCAACTCGGTCGAGGTCGGCGAGATCGAGCGGATCGAGCGTTTGTGGCGAGTCGTCCCGCCGCATTCCACCTGGAAAAGGGGGGAGGAGTTGAGAGGTTGAAAATGTAAGAGGAGACAAGATACAAAAGAAGCGCCGAATGAAAAGAAGAGAAAGGCTTAAGTATCATGATTTTAAGGATAAAATTAAAAAGCTTTGAAAATCGAGAGCCTTCATTTACGTTTATCTAACTAATATTAAAAATCTTTATATAAGCATGCAAATAAAAAATTAAACCTGGCCCCTTAAGGTATACCTTGATCTTGTGTAAGGAGCGCTAGAAGAGTAAGGTGAGGATTATGAAAGCTTACTGGCTATGATATACTAAAAATAAAAAGCAAAAAATTTTCGTTAGACTATCGATATGACCGAATTTCATGGTCATATCTATAGGCTAACGGAAGGGGGGGGGGGAATCAAAGCCTAAGCCTAAGCCCTAAGCCCTAAGCCCTAAGCCCTAGCCCAAGCCTAAGCCTGTAAAATGCCTATACAATGCCGTAATTGTTCGTCAAATGGGGGAATCGACTCTTCTGTTTCCGATGGCGTTTTCAGAATTTCGATAAAATACATGTTTATAAAGTTAAAGCCGGTTTTATTCATTTTTGCGGTCCCTGAGGGCTTCCTTGCATAAAGTGAAAAAAATAGAAATTTCCTCATTCTTGCGACTTGCACGCATGTGTGGTGGGGGGTCCGCGCGACCCGAGCTATCGGAAAGTCAAATTTATCATGCAGAGCCCCGCACTCCAGCGCCCAAGACCCGCGAAGCGGGTTTTGGGCGCTGGTAAGAAATAAAAGAAAATTAGATATCGACACTTTTATTAGGTACAGCTACTCACCAATTCCAATCCGGTGCCCTCCTCGCCGCTATTCTCGTCGTCCGACTCGACTCGTAGTACCTAGATTAAAACTTTTAGCAGGTTGTTTGGAACCTACCACATGTGGAGTACTATTGACGGCAACACTGATATTATTGACGAGGGGTGGCTCGGGTTGAGTGAGAGTTACCTAAAAATATATAAGCTGTAGAGACTTTGAAAGGTTCTAGAAACTTAATCGTAAAGCCCTAAATACCTCCGGAATGTTCTCCATCGCGTCGATATTCAGTGCATTTTGGCTATCGTGATGGTAGATCTGGTATTCCTTTTCGTTGAAGGTGCCCGCGGTCTAAAGGTATTGAAAGATGTATTGAACTATGTATCAACTAAACCAAAAGTTTAAGTTAACACACCCTCATCTCATCCAATTCCTTCGCTGAACATGGTGGCGTTTTCACATCATAGACATTGTGGAATTTTTGGAAATCAATATGGTATTGCCCGTTCTCTTTTTGTAGTGCACCAGTTTCTCGAATCTGAAAAGAACTTACTGTAACCCTCTTATGTTGACCGTGGGATTTCGTTATGGGAGATAGCACATCCTGTGCAGAATTTTTCGCTGATTCCGAATCCGTTTTCAAAAGTTGCGGAACCCCTCGGAAAACAGGTTAAAAATCGAATTTAAATTTGGGCGAATCTGGTCCATGGCGCCCCTGGGGGGTTCAAAGAGGCTCCCCACCGCCACCCCAGCAGCAGCTCGACGGTACAATGGTTAGGCGCCGGTTTCTTGAGCAGGCTATCACTGGTTCGACCCCTGCCGCGGTCGGTTTTTTTTGCTTTGCATTTTTTTTTAATCGGAAACTAGTGTGACGCTGTGCCGAAACAGTGTCATATCGTTTTTTTAACCATTTCCTTTTCTATTTTCTTATAACAATAGATAAAGATTCACCAACCAAACCACGGCGCAAGTTATTCTCGCCAGCGCAAGCCAATTTGTAGTTCCCGACGACATAAACTGCTCGTTCTTCGTTGGCATAAAGCAATTTAGAAAAGGAAATGGTTAAAAAAACGATATGACACTGTTTCGGCACAGCGTCACACTAGTTTCCGATTAAAAAAAAATGCAAAGCAAAAAAAACCGACCGCGGCGGGGGTCGAACCAGTGATCGCCTGCCCAAGAAACCGGCGCCTAACCATTGTACCGTCGAGCTGCTGCTGGGGTGGCGGTGGGGAGCCTCTTTGAACCCCCCCCAGGGGCGCCATGGATCAGATTCGCCCAAATTTAAATTCGATTTTTAACCTGTTTTCCGAGGGGTTCCGCAACTTTTGAAAACGGATTCGGAATCAGCGAAAAATTCTGCACAGGATGTGCTATCTCCCATAACGAAATCCCACGGTCAACATAAGAGGGTTACAGTTAGATATCATAATTTCGTAAATTGTGATATGTTAATTCTATATTGACTTTTCCCTCACCGTTTCCCCCATAAAATTTCATTTGGAAGATAACTGGTCCTTGCTTGTGTTGTCGACCCCACCGATTCCACAACGCCCTCCAATATCGCTAAAAATACGGAATATACAGGGTGTCCCAAAAAAAGACCTCCTCTAGCGGTCGGCAGTGATGTCTGATTTTGACGATTTAGATATCTATGTTTAGGTATCTCGACGAGCTGAGGAGATACGTTCTTTCAGTTTTTCGAAATTCCCTAATTTTCAACCCGATTTTCATCGTTTTTTGGGCATAAGTTCCACAGTTTTGTGCAAAAACTCAATTTAAACGGTTTCAGTCCCATCCAAGCTGTGTTTTGTCAAATGCCTTTTAAAAGGTGAACCTTGGGCTGCCAGAACAAATGTAAAAATTTGGAAAATCGGGGGGGGGGGATTTTTTTAAAACACTTGCATGGGGAAAAGCATCAAAATTTCAGCTAATTTCGCAAAAATGTTAACAAATGTAATAAAAATTCGGAAATTGACAATCGGAAAGAACATTCTCGTCGAGAGCTTTCGATAGATACCTAAAACGTCAAAATCGGACATCACTGCGGATCGCTATTTTTCACTATTTTTTTTGGGACGCCCAGTAGATAGCTTTACGTTTCCATACCAATAATCTCAAATTTGGCCGTCATCAAGCTCTCCTTGCTGACGTCGTAGAGTGGTGAATTTTCGTCGATTTCATGGCATATCGTGATGGGCCATATTACGAAGACTCGATCCAACCCTTCGTCATACCTAAAAAATTTGCATAAAAATATAGCGAAGGCATAAACATACCCGACGTCCATATCAAATTGATGAAATGGTAACAACTCTCCCTCGTAGGTTATACAACGTTTGATCATCTGAAAACGTCATGAATTATAAGGAAAAATTATCATTGTTTTAGATAGAACAAATCCAACTATTAGAAGTTATAGGAAGAAAGATCTACACTTTGCTTATGGAAATCGCAAACCCCATTGAAATTGCCCGTCACCTGTAACCGAACGTGCGCTTCAGCCAACGAGCTCTTCCTCATGTCTCCGACTCGGAAGAGGAGGCACAACTTCCCGTCCCTCATGCAGATTACCGCGTTTTTGCTGAAAAAAACGAGGTTTTGCATGGTTTCGTGTCCCTGATTCCCCGGGAAGTCATTTCACACACTCGCCTAGTTTATATGCGGTTCCGGGCCGCGTGTGCCAAGCGGGGGTCTCATAACAATGAGCCAGTGAGCTTGTTTAGAAAACACGAGCGCGCCTTGGCTGGGGTTTGGGATTAGAAAAATGGCTGAAATCGGAAGATTGCTTCCGCCGCGGTTAAGGACAATTGGTGGATTAGGTCCTCTGTTTCGGCAGAAAGATTAAAATTCGGAGATAAGCTTTTCTTAATCTGCAACATTGTCATATGAGTCAACAGATCGCGGTATTGCGTGCTTTACGACTCATATTTTACGTCGGCCCAACAAGCAGGGTTTTTATTTTTCCCTAAAAAGAATTCGTTGTCACAAACACTTATCACTTTTTTCACAACCAATCAGTTTGTGGGATTTTCGAACACTCAAATTTTGACATCGAACCTTGACTTCACTTTGACTCAACTCCTGAAGGCATCAGTAAATTTACGACTACGGACTCCATTTCTAACCCTAATGAAAAAAAGAATATATTCTGCTCAAAACAAAACCAGTCCCCAGCCACCCCATCCTTTCCATTTGGCACACGACCCGAAAATGAGTTCACCATCGCCCCACCCCGTCACGACCATGATGATGTGCCCATTTTGACGCCCTTTCATCGTGGGCTTGGAAAAAGGAGGTCCCTAAGAAACAAAAGCTACCTCACGGGGCTCATTTGTCGCCCATTTTCAAGGCGGCCATCACCCGGCGGTGTGGTCGTGGCCAGGCGAAAGCCGCGGCGCAATTATCCCGCTGACACCCACCGGCTTCACGACCTTTGTTTTTCTGGGAGAACCAAAACGTGAACAGGCGATAAAACAATAATTAGTTTTTTTCGGGGGGCTACAGCGAGGTATTGGTTTTGGTAGGAACGAAATAAAGCTTAAAAAATTTGGCCTCAGAGCCAAAATTGCTCTTTTTGTAACTACAGTCATGATGTAGAAAGGGAAATCTCGACAGCATGGGCTGGCGGAGTATATAAATAGATAATATATAAATAGTATATATTAAATAGGTAAAAATATAGAAAAATCACCTAAAGATGAGCGTCGCCGCTCGTTTGATCGGTCTGGCCAACTTTGAAAAGATCACACCAGCCATGAGCGTCTGAAAATGAAAATTAGGAAATACGAGCAACTTCGACAAGTCGGCCGATAAAAATCAGACGAATCGTAGAAGGTAAAAACCTTTCAAAAATTTACCTGTGACAAAATACCCCACATAAATTGCACCATCATCGCCAGCACTACCAGAGGACACTGATCAGTTGGATATCTGAAGTATAATTTGCTTTGCAATTCAAAAGTATGCGCACCTCATTAGTCAACTTTATTTTTAAAGGGTTACAAAAATTTTGGTATTCCGTCTAATTGCCGTCAATTAAGTTCACCGGCTTCCACCTGCTCAGCTCTTCCGGATCGATAAGAGCGGCCAACGGATATTTACAGACAAGTATTTTAAGGTGACATGGCTGATGAAACCCCGGCTATCTTATGCCGTGACGTCATGCTTTACAGAAGTGTCCTTTCACCAGTCTTCCTGATCTTATCAACCCTCGCTTCCGGTTTCATGCTTTTCATAACATCGGTAGCGACGCCGAAACCCATGGAAGGATACAAAATTCATATGATTGATAGCCTGGTAGGTCTGCGTCTACTGAAGGCTATAAAACGTCAAGGTTGGTTGCTACATCGTCAACGCCGTGGTCATCGCGATTTATGGACCTTATTTTTGTTGGAAAGAAGAGAATACGGAGCTCGTCTTTTTCTCGGTTGCAGTTTTGCAGTTTTCTGATGGAAACCTTTTGTGGTCAATTGCCATGGTGGGCTTTGATTCTTTGCCAGCCATTTTAGATAACTCCGATTTCAGTCAATATTTGCCCTGAGTGCTATCAATGTATGTAGAAGTAATATACTTTGCTTCAAACACCGCTTTGAATGTGTCGCCGTCGGCAAGTATCACCTTTTTTGCGTGCGTGTTGGTACTCGAATGGCCTACGTGATGTTTACATACGCACTGATCTGCACGATCCTCACACTGGTGTATGGCCTCATGCCTTTGGGCAGATTCAAATTTGTAAGTGCGGCAGTTAGCAAACACGCTCTTATTCTAGGAAACGCTAAATGGGTCCGATAAGTCCATAAACCCAATATTTGTCAATAGCATCACCTCTTCTTGGAAATACATAGGCCCTTTTACAATACTTGCTTTCTCCTACATCATTGCGTTCCTATTCTATTTTGGCTCCACTTACTATTGTCTTTACCATAATCAAACCGTGGCCATAAAACTATCGAAAACAACGATGCGAGCGCAAAAGGTTGCCTTTTTGACGTTATTGGTACAGGTATTTGGTCGTTGACCTTCAGCGAGCGTATTTTAGTGTCTCACGACGCTTGTTTCTGGATTCATTGTGGTCCTTTGCGTGTTAGTATCCATTTTATCTCAAAGCAGCGCATGGATTAAAGGTTTTGTTTTGAAAAGAAGCATATGATCGCTTTTAGCAACGAACATGAGCGCTGCCATCCTACTTCAACCATACGGGCTGTTCTACCCCATAATGCTACTTCTGACCACCAGGCCATTCTATAACCACGATAAGCAACTTCTAGGGAGGCTTAAAATTAGCCTAGTTGAAAACGAAATCAGTTCCTTATACCACCACCAGAAAAGAACGTCAAAGAAGAAAACGGCCGCGCGCGAAATCTCGATTGTGCAGCCAATGCCGAGACCTAACAAACCATACCGTATAATGGATGATAAAAGATGATAAAACCATTCTAAAATTGCTGACTATGAAAGCACAACAGTTGCAGGCATGATTTGTACTTGTGGCGGCGCACCCGTATGAAACACCTGCGTCAGAAATGCGGCTTCAACGTTTCCCAAAATTCTCGAAAAGTCGCACAACACCCATCGATCGTTGGCAGTTACTGTAACTTTATTATCAAGATGCCGGAAAAAGTATATTACGATGCGTTACCATATCGAACGTATGTCACAACTCTGTGCCTGTCGGTAGCAACGCCCATATTTGCAATGTTGATTTATTTGGTGGTGGTGGCGACCCCGGTCAGGATGATGCGCTACAGATATTACATCTTTGATAGTCTGGTAAGTACTAAATGACGGATGGGAACTACGCTTACAAAATCCAGATATCTTCCTACACCTTCAGCCATACCTGCATCATCATATTGCTTCCTTATCTTATACAGGACGAAAAAGGCCTGCAAACGCTATCAATGAGCTTATTGGCCAACATAGCTCCGGAAACGAACTGCCAGTTGGTCTGGGTAGGAAAGCTCTCGTTATGAATGCGGGACTCTAGTGTGTGCTAGCCATCGCGGTCACAAATTGCTGTCGCTCCAATATCAACTCATTCAAGTATCGCTTTGAGAGCGTACTGTTTGGGCGCCACAGAGCATTGTGGAAAAAGTATCGGTTCTGCCTGTACATTTTGCTGGCCTACGGAATTTTCACGTCAATCACAAATGTTTATCTGGCCGTGGAAGGTGGCCCAGTATCGATTGTCATGGTAATTATGCAAATATAAATTTTCGTCGAACAGCTAGCAACCTATCTACAATTCCTTTAGATGACCCATTCTTTCACGGGACTACAGTCGCGGCAGGTCACGGCAATGCGCTACAGATTTTCATTTTTCTGGTTCATCCCATTCACGCTACTTGGTTGCTGCTACGTCGGCATCTTCATGCTCTTTATCGGCACCACCTACTATTCCCTCTATTACAGCAAAACCTTTTCCCAGCGTATTTCCCCGACCACCCTATCGGCACAACGTCATGCGTTCTACGCGCTCTCCGTTCAGGTTAGTAAAAAAGCTTCTTTTACGCAACATTTTTCTAGGGCGGACTAACTCTTGGAATCCAAATCTTCCTTGTCAACTCCACACTCCTGACTGTCGCTATTGGAATGGAGAGAATGGTGGAAGGTTAGCGTTTCAGCTCGTCAAAAGTTGCTCGTAGTCAACGACATAATCTCTCAATCCTGGTTATGTTCTACAGCCAACTGTACGGAATCGCCGTGCTTTTGACCACCAGACCATATCGGATGCATGTTGCCCTTCTGTATGCCAAATTCTTCGGCGGGAGTGTGGTGAACCGTCGTGCAACGATAGTTTCGATTGTCATTCAATGCCCGAGCAATTAGTAAAGTAATGTGATACTATCATCCCTAAGCTGTAGCGTAGCCAACTTTCAAACACAGCACTTTGGCACGGTAGCGTATATGCGTTTAATATCATTATAATCTTGCCAAATGCACAGTGTTCCCCGAAAAACAAGCTTTTTGTTGAACTTAGTGTTTCTCATATCTTTCCGGCAGCACCTGCCACTGTGGAACTGTGATCAAGGTTGAGGCCCCAAGAACTACATATCGACCGCCGGGTCTTTATTTTTGCGATAATGTCGAATAGAACTTACTATGATGTGTGACTTTATCGCCTTTACATCTCAACAGCCTGCCTGGCGGTTGCTTCGCCGAGTTTTCGGGGCTTACTCTACTAGAGCTCAGTGGCGTCGCCGAGGGGGCATGATAAAATATCGATTTTATATAATTGACTCAATGGCGTGTTCACGATCGTTTTTCGGCGCTCTGAATTACCTAGATATCTTCGTTCATCTTCGCCCACACAACTGCTACTGTGGTTCTTCCGTATTTCGAACAGGGTGAGCATGGCATCATTGCATTTTCTATGACGTTGTTGGCAAGGTTTTACCCCAGAATGAACAATCAATGGTTTTGGGTAGGCGGCTACTTTGGCTTCATCACTTTCATTCGTTTGTAGGGCCTATTAGGACTCGTTTCTATCAACTGCTGCCGGGCCAACAGCAATTCGTTTAAATATCGCTTTGAAGCGGTACTCTTTGGCTCCTATCGTGCACAATGGTTGCAATTTCGTCCTGGACTTTACGTACTTTTGGTATACGCCTTCGTAGTTTGTATACTCGTGGCCACACTCGCTTTTACGCCGGTCCAAACACCAGCGATAATGGTGGGCAGGTTTTTTTTGTTCTTACAAGGAGTGCTTTTTTTGAGTCATCGGCAAAACCTTACGAGACCTAGCTCATTCGATAGAGAATTTGATTCTAAACAAAACCCCGTTGTTCTTTTTTGCAGAATGGCTATCTATGATTTTATAAAATTTTAAAACTGCACCCAAAAGCCTCCCTTTTGGCTCGAAGGGCACTCATGGTAAGAGACGGTCACTAGTATTTTAATTTTATAAAATCAGGGATAGCCATTCTGCAAAAAAGAACAACGGGGTTTTGTTCAGAATCAAATTCTCTATCGAATGAGCTAGGTCTCGTAAGGTTTTCCCGGTGACTCAAAAAAAGCACTCCTTGTTAAAGGGATACCCAATGTTTTGGCGGCAAATATATAGTTAGGTATTCCGGAGAGTACAAATGACGCGTGAATTTTGTGCTTTAACGGACGCCCAGTGCCGCACAGAATTCGGAAGCTTTTCCCTCTTTTGGCGCCCCCCATCTCAACCAATGGCTTGCCACTATGGCCTAATGGATAGCACCCAGGTCTTCAAAACGAGGGTCCCGGGTTCGACCCCCGCACGCGTCCTGGTTTTTGCTTTTTGAGCCTCGCAAATGTTGGGTATCCCTTTAAAGGGATGCCCAACCTTTTCGGGGCTCAAAAAGCAAAAACCATGCCGCGGGCGGGGGTCAGACCCGAGACCACCGTTTTGTAGGCCTGGACGCTATCCATTAGGCCATAGTGGCAAGCCATTGAAGGGGAGGGGGATGCCACAAGAGGGAAAGGTGTCCGAATTCTGTGCGGCAATGGGCGCCCATTGGAGCACAAAGTTCGCGCGTCATTTGTACTTGCCGGAATACATACTATATATTTGCCGCCAAAACCTTGGGTGTCCCTTTAATGTCTTGGTAGGTGAGCGATTCTTTCGGCGGGACAGCTCTTTTACTCTACCCAATCGAATTACAATTATCACTGTCGTATATTATCCCAATCGCTATACTCTGCGTCATTCACGTCCTAGTGTTCTGACTATTCTCATGCACTACAGTCTATTTTCACTACTACAGCAAAAGCATGGCCGCAAGGATATCGCCGAAAAGACTACGCGCCCAGCGCCACGCATTCTCAATGTTGTTCGTCCAGGTATACAAATCTATACTTTCTGAAACTAAGTTCGAGCTTTATAGACGCTCATGACGCTGGGGATCGGGATGTTTCTTATTCTTTTCTCGATCGTAGCCATTCTATCTGCGATCGGCTTCTTGATCACAGGTCTCACAGAATACACCCTTGCATCTGAATGATTATTTTTAGTTGATAATGTTATAATATCCATTACATTGACGTTCTACAGTCAATTGTATGCGTTCACGGTTCTATTGACCACCCAGCCCTACCTAAATTATCTGAGAAAACTCAAGCTGGGCTGCTTCAAGTTGGGCCGTTCAAGCAACAGCTCAAACATTGTTTCCCTGGTAACGTGGGTCCGAGGTGTCAGGGTATGAAATAAAACAATCAAAATAAAAATAAAAACAGAGCATTTAAAAGACCCACCGATACCCATAACCGATCGTCGTCTGCGTGGTGAAGGAGAAGAGGTAGAAATTGAGCTCGGAGTCGGCATTTTGTACACACGGCGTCCAGTTTGTACTTTTCATGTTCCAGGGCTCGAGGTCACCGTGGGAATTGGCAATGCTAAATTAGTTTTTATTGGTTACCTTCAATTCAAGCAAATTCGATTACATCAACGTGTATTAATAAAGATAATTGTAAATCGAATTATAAACGTTGAAAATACGCTCTGCCATTACCTATAATAAATCAACGCAAAAAACGTCCACGAGAGGACAAAGTTGAGCGAAAAGTAGAGAAGACACCATCTCCATTTCATTTCGATAACCGTCGTAAAGATATCGCTGAAAATAGGCTGTGACATGCAGATTTTCACGTGAGTTATGGTGTTAAAAATCTAAATAAATACCTAAAGTATTTCCGCCTTTGCTTTGGCACGTTCTTCAAAGCAATATTGCAGATCCCATTTTTCTGTACAAGTCGATTCCGCATCCTTCTCGACCCGAGTCGCGGTGTCTGCAAAACCCTGATTTCGTTTTTTTTATACAACTTTTATATTTTGAAAAATACGTTTTCATTTCCCCCCGTGCCAGTTGTTGTGCGGAATCGCTTCCGCGGCACCGCGCGGCCAACCCATAATTCCCAGACCATTTTCCCGAACGGCAATTGTTTTCTCGCCGCGACTAATTCCACCTCAACTACCCCGCCGCGTCCAGAAATCACGCCGCAAAATTCACAGCCCATCCACTGGATTCTCACGGAACTCGGATGACCCGAAAGCGGCCATATTTCCGGGCGGGGGATGGTACGAAAAGTTTGTCCCCGCGAACGGAGCGGGCCTTCCCTTGTGCTCCTTTGCAGGCAAAAAGCAAAGTGGGCGATAAATTTGAGAGACGGCCACGGCGGGGGGAAGACGAGGAACTTTGCCGTTACGGAAGGTGGAAGGGATTCGATTTAACGAAAGGCTTCTGTTGTTGCAAGTTAGAATTTGATTCATGGGAGGAGAGATCGACCTCTATGGGATCATGCTAACAAAAAAAACGCAGAAGAACGAAAGCGCGTGTCGTGCTCAGCTAAAAATTGTCACAATTTATCCCGGGTCAGGAATTTCTTACCGTGCTAAATTTATGAGTTGAAAATACCCTTTCTAGAGTTGCTAGGAGGCAATTTTAGCGCTTATTAAATGTTATCCAAGAAATACTGAAATCAGCATAAAAACGCCCTTTCACGAGCGATAAGTGTGCGATTTTAAACTTCTTGAATGTTTGCTATCCAAAAACTAAATTTAAAACCTTCGCTCCAGATCTTATCCACAATCTCCTTTTTTTCAGAAACGCCCGTAAAAAGGTCACCCACCTTGAAAAACCGTGTCTTCTCCTTCTTTTCGGGCTCCATGTCGAGCATCGTCCGCTGGGCGGCGAGCAGATTCGCTACAGAAGGGGACATGGAGACGACGGCGCCCTTCCGGAGGGGCGCCACCGCCTCCATCCATTCACCGGGACGCCTTCCAAACAGTTCGCGGGACTACGGGTACGCCTCTGTACGCGCTGTGTCGGGTCCGCCCACTTTTAATTGGTAGTTGAAAGTTAGAGGGGGCGGGGCTTGGGAATTTGTCAAGATACAGATCGATTTCAGATTTTAGAGAACGAATAAAAATTAATACTATAGACCATCAAGTGAGGTCTTTAGACGATTTGGGAGTATCGTTCCCGGTTCTTCGTCGTTCGCTTCGGTCCCGGAAATCAAATTCGAGGGAGGAATTCGACTCAAGGGCCCAGCCAAAAGCCCGAGAAGATGCAAGATGTCCTGTGTTGGTCCGGGTGTGTATGTCTGTGGGTATGAGCGGGAGGATGGCCCCTCTCCTTCCCCTGGAGCCCCTCCCCTTTAGGGCCCACCGCCAGCCCGGCCGGCCACACGCTTTTTTTTGGCTTAGGGCCCCGGCTGAGGACCTTGGCGATGGGTGGCTAGCACCCCTTCTAGGCTTCTGAAGGGGTAGATGAGGAGTCGACGCAAAATGTATTACTCGGGAAGGAGGTGCGAATTAGCATGGTTTCAAGGTAGTAGGTTTAGGATTTTCCATAGGTTCTTTAAATTAAAGGCTTAGGCTTAGGCTTAGGCTTAAGTTTGGTTTAGGCTTAAGCATAGGCCCTGGAAAAATTCCGGTAACACGGGTTTTGGTTCTAAAATTAGCCTAATTTTCTCTGCTCCCTCCTGCCTCGCCCCAATCTCTGCCGATTATTTGACTGAAAAATTTGCAAATGGGGCCAGAAAAAAACAGGTTTAGATTTTGTCACCTTTCAGGGCCCCATGCTCATCCATCTCAAGCTCAAATTCTGCTCTTTAGCCCCAAGATGAGCACCTCCGCCTCTAGCCCCCTTTTTCGGGGGTCAGATGAGCAGGCGTCCGTCCATCCCCCCTCTTTCCGGTCCCACCCCCCAAAAATGCATTACTCTAGAAGAGGGAGAAGCTGTGGATCCACCACCTCCCACGGCCGACGACACTTTTAGAGGGTCGATGATGGATGGAGTTCACAGGGTATTTCTGCCTCTCCAAAAGCGACATCATCAATGAAAATAATTCTCATCGATGGGGAAGAGCAGGGTTTTTGTGGTTTGGAGCAAGCTATGGAAGAGCGGATCCTTCATTATTATTTTTTGCTTTCGCTCGAGGATGGGTTGAGACGGTGCTCAAAAGAGTGTTCAAGAGCGCACCAAAAAATGATAAAAAAGATCGAAGTCCATGGAACTGTGGAGTTCATTCGCAAAGGGTATACATGAATTCTCGTCAAACGTTAATATTACGAAGATACATTTTAAGAGTTGCTCAACTACCTTTCGATGTGAACAAATTGTAGCTTAAAATAAAAATTCACTAACTAAAGTAGCTTCAAAAACTCGAGGAATTCCGAAAAATCGCAATAATCAAACCCCCAACAAAAACCGGGCCGTGCCTTGCTTCATTAGCCTGGGAAATGTGCGTAAATATGTCTGCCAGAAAGACGTTCTCTAACAAAAAAAACGTGGTCCAAAGCAAAGGTGAAGAAATTCTATCACTTGTCCCCTCCCACCCAGTCTTTTCGATTGAAATCGAACCCTAAACATCAGGCAATGCTTCCAGAGACCTTTTAGTCGTCTGAAAACACAGAATTTTTTGGAGCTCTACAGTTTTTATGAACTTCAGATCTGACAGTCAGATGCCAAAAACCAAGGATACAGGTATGAGATACACGAAGTTTTATCGATTCGGGGATTGAGGAAAAAGGGTAGTCGTACGTTTCCGGCCTTAAAAATACCTATTATAGCAGTTGATGAAATTTCTATCCATATTAAGCTATGAAATTATTATTTACGTGGCATGGAAAAATCTAGGCAGCGGAAAATGTTTGGATAGACCCTTTTCGGCAGGTGCACTCTAGGTGCTTCCAAAATTTGAAGTTATTAGAGGGGCATCGAGACGATTTTTCTGGAAAGATGCAGAGTAATTGGGCAATCAACCCGCTATTAAAACTGTCAAGGAAAAGATAAGCTTTTTTAACTGAGTTCAAAGATTTTTTAACTATAACAAAGTTAAACTTTCCGCCCCATATGTTTAATTTCTATTTTTCATTGACGGCGGTATAGACTTTGAAATCTGTCATAAAAAGTGGTTGTTAGGGCAAAGGAAGCCATAGCTGCTCAAAAACCGACCTCCCGCCGACACGATCGACTCGCTCAAATTGCTGAGATTCGCATCCGACATCTCCCCGTCCATCGAATTCGCGTCACAATACCGTAGTGACCTTTGCCGGTACAACGCGCGGGGCATCTTTTGGAAAATCGAATCTAGGCCTAGGTACGAAGAACAGCCCTCTAGCAAAGGAATGAATCCACGAATTCTAGGGACCGCCACCTCCAGGGTGTCTGGGGTCGAACAAAAGCCGCAACCCGAATCAACGGCCAATTTTCTGAAATGAGAAAGGCGAGGTGTGGTATTTGGCAACGAGGGGGAAAGGGAATCCCCTCACAGCCCCTCCCAACACAACGGATCGGGCGTCTTCTAATTTTTTTCTTGATGTTAGGGTGCCGGCTCGGCGGCGAGCCCCTGGGATTATCCGCGAGAAATTGTTCGATTTATTTCCCGAATGCCTGCTGCTTTCAGTGGGCAATGCAGCGACGCTGACATGAAGACGCAAAACGCGGATAAGGCAAATGAGTCGGAAGGGGGGGGGATTAGTCGAGGATGGAGGGGGGCATGGATTTGCACGGCTTAGACAGTCATGTTTTAACTTTTTCTGGGCGGTGTTCCCTTCATTCGGGTGGGCGAGTGGTTGAGTCTTGATAGATGCGCAAGAACGAAACAATGTACCTTTCAAGAATATTTCAAGAGAATTTCGCCAAGGGGAATGGAAATGCTAAAAAAGCGCTCCTTTATCTCTACTAGGTCTTCACAAGACATAACCCGTTAAAACACCAATTTTTCGTTTGGTCCAATAAAACAGAATCGAAAGCGAAATAAAAGCGTAGTTCGAATTGGCGTCGCTTTTGACTAAATAAGGTTCATTATAATATCAAAAAATACAGTATAATACAGACCCGGGCAGACCAGAAATCATTATTTTATCATCCTAAGACAAAGAAAAATTTAGAACATTACCCATTTTTGCTCATTCCTGAGGCAAACTCTGCAGAAAATGCGCTACTTCCCCCGCCCCCCTCCCCCCCAAAATGGCCACTTTTCACCATAAAAACCAATATAACAAAGGCCATTTGCCGGGTAGGAAAAGCCAAAAACTCCGCAGCTACAAACCAGGAACAACGTCAAATCTGATCCAAAAAAACCCATCTTTTAGCCGTTCTGCAAAAGCCATCGAGATAGCGAATGCAAGAATTGCAAGTCCTAGCCTTCAGTTATACCGTAAAATTGACGTCAAGAACCACAGCACGTGGTTATGTTTTCCCAGAACAAATATTGCGAAAGATAGCGCGGAAAGCTGAGGAGCTGATCAACTACTTGCTTCTGGTGTCACTGCTCCGCGTTTTTTTTGTGTCGAACTGTGTGGGCTGGTCAAAAGAAAAAGGGACGACGGCCGAAAATAAAAGAAGCTCCCCGGTGGGGGGAAGCCGTTAGGCAAACGCGCCGTGTAACTCCGTTGCTGTGCCAAGTGATCGGGGGTAAATTTCAGAAAACAATACATCGAAAGGATTGGGGTGGCAGAACGTTGGATGAAAACACTGTTGTTTGGTAAACACTAAAAAATCATGGAAAGTCTTCGAAAAAATGTAGAGGGACTGAAAATATATACGAATTTCAACCGGAAAAAAATGTTTCCAACAAGCTCCAACCCGAAAAATAAAAAAATCTCAATAACTAAGCGTGATTTTACTTTTGAAAAGGAGAGAAAGTGGCATTCAAGTGGTATTTGAAGCTGAATAACCGGAAACTGGGTCAGTTTTATCACCTACTATAGAAAACGGCATTTCCGCATATTACCCAAGCCACAAAAGCTGAAAATAGACACTTTTAACAGCAATACGGGAAAGTTAGGAAAATCTTAGCGGCATATGAATCCCTGTAAAATGGAGCAAAGGGCAAGCCCGTGGCCGAGAAAAGACGGATTTTGACATAGCTAATTCTTAATGCATTAATAGTTTGTGGGTGTTCGGCTTCCCGAGTAACTGAAAGGAACGCTGTTGACTTCGCCACTCCTTTAAGACCTAGAACTACACACTACAACATCCCCAAATAGCCAAAAACGACTGCATGGTCTCAAGAATACGAGAGGATACGCTTTTCGGGAAGCTAGGTTAACCAGGAATAGGCCTTATTCTAGTATGCTGTGAACATGCCGGACTTCTGAATCCCTTTAAAGGCGCAAAAAAGACTGATTATCGATAACCGGAGGGTCCGTAATTCGCAATATTAGGTTATGAAGTTACCTGAGCAGCCTAGCAGACCTGCTTGGCTTCCCAATCTTCTTAAAAAAACCCTTACCGGTACTGATCTCCAGCGGCAATAGCAGATTCATAATCAATTCGCGTCGCTGTCGATTTTTGAGACTCCCTATTCTGGTGAGTCCCATGGAATTCGATTGTCTCGACGCCGAGAGATTTGCCGCTATTTTGTGGCTATTCATCCTCCAGCCACCACCAGCCATCAGCCCTTCTGTTCGTCTACCCGGGTGTTCTATCAGGGCCGAGAACCGAGGCGGGCGGATAAATGGCCTTGTTTTCCGGGGCACAAAATTAAAGGCAGCTTATGGGTGCCTTGGGCGCTGGCGGGCAAAAAAAAACCCGGCCGGATCATCCTGGGGTGAGTAATTTGGGTTTGGAAAGAATTGCGAGGTGAGGAGGCAGGGGAACGGGGAAGTGTTTTCTGCGGGTTAATGTCATAATGCCGATTTACATAATGCCGATTTTCATAATGCCGATTATTATAATGCCGATTTTTCATAATGCCGATTTTCATAATGCCGATTTTTCATAATGCCGATTTTCATAATGCCGATTTTCATAATGCCGATTTTACAGAATGCCGATTTTACAGAATGCCGATTTTCATAATGCCGATTTTCATAATGCCGATTTTCATAATGCCGATTATTATAATGCCGATTCTCATAATGCCGATTTTCATAATGCCGATTTTCATAATGCCGATTTTCATAATGCCGATTTTCATAATGCCGATTTTACATAGGGCTGATTTTGCATTAAAAGCCCGATTTACCCCAGACCGCGATAAATGAACATTCTTCAACCGTCGAAATTATTTAATAATTTTTCGACATTTTTTAATTAATACCGTCATCATAATACTGTAGTTTAACGGGGACTTGCAGATTCTTGAGATCTGCGGGATTGGCCGGGTAATCCTGAACTCGAGCTCTTCGTCCGACTTGTTCCAGGCTTTGGATAGTAGGGCGAATGACGCTGTCGTCATGGTGAGCCAGGACGGGTGCGACGAGAGCGCCAACAGATTGCCCGTAATCGGAAGTCACCATCTCCCGAACACGGTTCCGAGCCTTGGTATGCGCGTTCTAAACGTTTGCGGCTGAATCTGGAGGTTTGAATTACTGAGAATTATGAGAATAGAAAATTATGAGAATCGGCATTATAATAATCGGGATCATGAGAATCGGGATTATAATACTCGGCATTATGAGAATCGGCATTATAATACTCGGCATTATGAAAATCGGCATTATGAGAATCGGCATTATAATAATCGGCATTATGAAAATCGGCATTATGAAAATCGGCATTACTGAAAATCGGCATTATGAAAATCGGCATTCTGCAAAATCGGCATTCTGTAAATC